CCAGCCACAACATCATCTTTCTTTTGAACTTTTAGATGAATCTCCTTTTAGATCATGAAAGCAACTAAAACAAAGGTCATTTACATTTCATTCCAGAAAACTTTTATGAGAAGTTTCCATCTGTATTTCATTATTTTCACTCCCACAACACCAGACATATAGAAGGATCCTTTACTTAACCAAAAAAAAAAAAAAAGGGATGATTAAGTGTATTCCGTCATATTATATATACTTTATCCAGTAACAGAAGACAATATTGTAACAGCAGTGCTTTTAAATCACTCCACAGCATTCAGCAGGGGTCAATTTCTACTGCAAGTGAATAATGATGTACCTCAACTCATTTTAATTTCAATAATTGAATGAGAAATAGGAAAGCCTACTGAAAGGACTGTATTCTGGTCAAAGACTAATGAGAAAATAGTTTCGAGTCTCTGAGTCAGCGGGTGTCATGGTAACAATGCATTATCAAAATCTGATTAGCGTGCCCAGAAGCTTTATAAATGATAACACGCTCTTCTAATTGTATTTCCTTTCTTCCCCGGTGAGGAGTTTTATATTCATAAGAGGTAAGGCATCATTCTGTTTATCTGTAAGTTAGACTTAGAACGTCCAGCATGCTCGCACATTCAGTGCAACCTGTCGTTCAGTAACAGAAAAATATTCCTGCTTTCTTAAAATAAGAAGCTGCGACTTCAATCTTCCTCCTCTTCCTAACTGTTTTATATGTAATTATCTAAGTCAAGTATCACTCTGCTCTTTTAAATATGCAATATCGTTTCTAAGGGCATACACATGAAAAAAGGATTACTGTAAAATATTAGCATCTTCCAAAATGCCCGTGTTTCATAGGAGAAAAGGATGCAAGATCAAGAGCATCTGCATGATAAATGCCATCCCAAAAAGCATTCCTACATGTTCTTGAGGCACCGAAAAGGGGCAGGAGATTTTCTTGAGTGTAGAGGACTGTGTGCGTGTTTGCTAACTCATTACAGTCTCAGAAATCAGGAAGAGCTTCAAAATTGAATAGGGTTCTTTTCCTTTTCCTGAAGAAAAGAGCTAATATTGCTTCATAAAATAAATACAATGGAAATACAAGGTTGGAGGTTTAATAATGCTCCTTCTCTAAGTGAACCTCAGGTGAGCAGCCTGGCAGACCTTTATTATATTAACAGGATAGAGCTCTATTACAACTGCAGCCTCACACATCGGATTCCAAAATCACTTGAACATGCAGAAATCCAGTCTCAAATGGAAATGTTTTCTTCCTCAGAGTAAAATAACATTCTATTTCTCAGCAGAACGACCATGAAACCTACTCCATATTTGGCCTGTTTCCGTGACCCTTGTAACCAAAATGTTTTATTTCTCATTCTAAACACTCACTTTCGTTTATGAGTTCAGCTTCCAATCTTTTTAAAGAAAAAGGAGGAAAGCTCACATCCTTATTCTCTAGGTAGCTCGAATACTCTCAGTCAAACAACAAATAATGCTTAATACAAGAAATCAACTTTTCTACATTATTATTATTAAACGGGGCCACGTCTGTCACAGTGCATGAACGCAGAGAAAATGAGTACAGCTAGACCTAAAAAGCTTATTACTCCTCATTACGTGCGCTGGTACGTGGACCAAGCTTAAGATGTACGAAATACTAGAAGTAATCAATCTTAAGTCAACACGCTGAAAGCCAGAGAAACGTTTATCTACGTGTTTGGAAATTCAGCAGAGAGCACAGGGTTACACGGAGAACAGAAAGTCATCAAAGCAGGCCAGTGAGCAAAGAAAGAGCAAACAAGTACTCCCCAGAAGGGATTAGCGCTAGGGTCGGGTACTGTTTACACTAACCTCGGATGGAAGCAGCAGCCAGAAAGCCAATCAGTGTGACCTTCGCCTGTCATGATGATGTTCCCATTAGGGAAGCCCCAAATCTTCCAGAGGCGGTCATCACTGCCAGTTGCCACGATGCTTTTTCGGGGATGTAAAGCCAAGCTGCAAAAGACAAGACAGGCAAGATTACATCCTGTATCATTTTTTATCTTATGTGAAATGCACAGCTGTGAGATTCACTTAATGCAGGGCCACATCTGAAGAGGACTCTGATTTGGTAGTGACTGTACAAGCAGTGATGCTTTCTACGCTCTTAGAATTTAAAATCTTTGCTATGTAGATGAGTTCCTGGTTCTGCCAAAGAAGAGAGCCAAACATGACTGACTTCTGTGAAACCAGATTTATTTTCACGTTATCTTGGAGTTCCACCTGATTAGCACACTTAAAGTGCTTCCTAAATACTGTTAGGTTATGCTCCAAAAAAATGCAATAGGATAAGATATAAACGAGTAGAACCAATGTAAATCAGTATCTCTCCATTGCCGCAATTTCTTCCAAGTATTGGCTTGCCAGCGTGCTGCTGATCATCAAAGAAAAGACAGACAAAAGGACTCTCTGCTTTCTTCATTGTGCTCATATGCCTCAAGTGGTCTATCACCGAGGCATAACTCGAATGATAATTACAGTCCACTAGCTACGGTCTTTGCTGTCACTTTAGCACTTGTTGACCGGAACAAACCTATGGTCAGAAAATCCATTTCAACTCTATACTCAAGACATGTTACATGTTTTCAGTTTGCACCATAAAACACCCAGGGACATCATGGAAATCATACTCTTATCACACCCTGATCCTGAAAGCTCAGTTTACTTTTGATTTGGCAACTGCAGTGTGCCTAAAAAGGATCTGGGGAAGAAAATAAATTTGTTGGAAAGATAACAAGTAGCATATTTTATATGCATTTACTTATTTGATTTAAATTATTGCAATGTTTTAGTATTTGTTGAACACTGAACGGTATCTGGAAGTCAACTTAAGCCCCAGAAGTAGGTTATTAAATATACCACATCCAGAGTTCAGAATCAAAATGCAAAGACGGGGAGAGGAATCATAACCTGTGTGTGAACCTTTTTCAGCTGTTCATCAGAGCTAACAGTTTGCAAAGAGAAGTGTTTATTAAAAGAGAGAGCAGATGCCAAGCAGTCAAAGAGGAAGAAGAGAGAGGTCCTAAGAGGCACATGGCTACTCCATTACAGAAATCCGTTAAATAAAAATCTCTTTAAATAGTGTCTTTCTTCTGCATGCTAATTATTGCATAAAACTCCCTAAACCAGAACCACAGCTTCTATTATACTGGGAAGTACAACTCCTCTATCAAATCCATGCTAAACACATATTTACGTCAACTAGAATTTCATCAGAAAAAACATCTACTCTTACTGTTTAAGGCATTGTCTAGACAGATTTTCACTTTCCACAGATGCACCAGGTAGGCTTATTTGTTTGACCAAGAAGCCTGGATTTTACTCATTCTCTAGTTTCTTAAACAGAGAAAACCATCCTCTATCTTTGCCAAAAAAAAAAAAAAAAAAGAAACACCACACTCCTTTTGCATTTACAGGGAGAAAAGAGGAGGAGGGAATAATGTTATTTAAATTCTCCAGAGAAGAATAGAAAACAATGGTATCATTTGGATTGGCCGCAAAATATACCTAGGAGAGCAAGGAGGGAATAGAGAGAGGAAGAGAATTAAAGGCTGAAATACGGCATGCAAGCGCCCTGCAAGTTACAGGATGAAGAACAGCTCTCCCAGCAATCTCTCTACTATAGGAGACCTCCGGCACACAAAAAATCCCAACTTAGTATTGCTGCTCTCTGCAGCACAAATAGGCACTTCACATTGTTATTCTGCAGACAGCCGCAAAGACAAACCAGCTCTACAGAAAAATGAGCAGGATAACAACTATAAAGAGGAATGCCTCAGGACAACACACACACTTCTCCCAGCCTCTAGAAGCACCAAGGTGGGCTGCGTTAAGTAGGACCTAGAGAGAAAGGTGAGGGTGCCAACTGCAAAAACACTGAGCACGTGCTGCTGCATCACCATTTAGGCCTGCTGTGATGAAAGGAGTCAAAGACTGGACTTTTCTGTCCTGGGAACAACTTGATCCTTCTGTTATTTGGAGCAAACAGACAAAAAATACCATCTTCCTACATTTTAAGATTTTCTCCTCATCTATTTCACATACTTCAGCTCCCAAAAGCTTATCAAACTTGGAATCTCCAATTCTTCTCTCCAAGTATTTCCGCTATGAGTTGAATGCATGCCCAGTGTGAAGAGTCACCTTTTCTCTCTTCCTCAATATCTGCTTTCCCCATTCCTGGAGATGCGTTACATAAACCTCACTTTAATCACTTCAGTCCATGCAAACCTGTCATTCTAAATGCAGAAAAAAGTTAATCTACGGGCTTCCTCCAGATTCACACTTGGTTCTGAACAGTCTTTGACGACTCACTGGGCTGCAGCCGCTACAGAAGCGAGCTGTAGCTACCAGGAAAGGTCTTCCAGGCTTTTAACCCTCCCAACACACCCCCAGTCCAGCTTTTGAAACATCCAGCCTTCTCTAAGGTTTCTAAAGAGCTTTGTGATGATCCATAAAGTGCATTTAAAGAGGAAGAAAATAATATCATGCCATCAGAATGAAGCCCACAAGTATGCATTTTACAGACTTTTCTTTTTAATTGCAGAGCTCTTGTAAAACGCTGTGGCTGTCCAAGGTTTTCTTCTCCATGGCATTTTTATAGGCACTCAGTGAACACCATTTAATTAACAGCAAGCTTGTGACACAACCGCTGTTGAGCTGCTTCTGAGAAAGGGAAGCCCATTCATCCAAAAAGAGAGCTCTAGATGCAACATTAATTAGGCACCCTTGTCTTCATTTCTGGCAATCCAGCACTGTATAGATTTTTGCTTCAGCTCTGTTCACAGGGTCTAATTATCTCCAGCACAGAAGACTTTGGGTAGATTGGAATGAAAAATCAATACTGGAACATATGTGATAGGAACATCAGTTTTCTCCTCCTCCTTTTTTGGGACGGAAGTTAGATCAGAGGAGATTCAGCCAAGAAAAAGAAACCTCTCATTTGCTGCCATTGACTATATAAATGCCCATGTTTACACAACTCATTTTGGTATTATAAGCCATTCTCATCTCTTCAGCACTTGCCATGGTAGATATACAGCCCTGCCAGTAACTTGCTTTCAAAACAATCATCGATTATTTTAATTTATTTTGACTGAACCATAAATGAAAATACGGTATCTTCAGATGCAAAATACTTCACCACGTACTCCATTTAAGCACTGTATACATATATAATCTACCATCGGGTTAGGAAGTGTTATAACCCAAAGTTGCCGGTGCAACCTTAACCACCATTAGCTTGTTCTTAAAGCTCTCAAAACAGCCACCATATATTACCTAGGCAGATCGCTACTGTCACAGGTAGGAGAAGGGGCTAGCTCTTCTCTTGCAGTTCCTTCCAACACTAAGATAGCAGCGCTCCCACTGAGCCCTGGTACGTCCAGTGCACAAAACAGACAGCGCTAGTATGTGAAGGGCAAACGTCAATCTGAACAAAGGCCTCAAACCTCTCAAACCTCTTCTAAGGAATAAAAGCAATTGCTCCCCATTTCACAGAAGCAGGATAATAAGGTATAGAAAAGTAAGTATGATTAATTTTAGTGGCTAAAATATCTCGCAAAGTCACTAAAGAGTCAGCTTTTTTACAGCAGTAGTTTCCTTTGGATCTCAGGAGACTGTACGAGCAGCAAGAGTTTAGCACTCAAAACCCAGCCCAAGCTGCCTCAGAAGTAGGCACTCAGAAAATGAAGAATCCAAAATTAATGACCAGCTGAGTACTTTCTGAATGACTTGTCCAACCTCACACAACTGTTCTGTGGCAGAAGTAAAGACAGAGGCCACTTTCCCAGGGTTTAACATACAGGAGTTATACAGAAGTATGTTCCCAATACAGACAGCATTTAGCTGCCAAATTCTAACATAGGCCTCTACTGAGTATCACTTGCGATACTAATTTTTAGAGATTCGTGATTTGGTCAAATTTATATGCACTCCCAGTTACTGGCAAAGATAATTTTTTTAATGCCAGAAGCTACTTCGGTACTAGAAGGCTCTTCTGCTACGTTTCTTGCTCTGAAATAAGAGAGCAGGAGAGTTCCCCCTGGGTAAAATAACATTTTTCTTGGTCCAAGAGCCATTTCAGCTGCTGCTTTCTTGCACAAAATATTCAGCCTGACTCAGATAGCTAGGACGAAAAATTTCAGTCTGGTTATGTTTTGATTAAGCTACCAATAGCTGAAAACTCAGTTTTATAATGGAAACTGTTAGGAAATTGTGGTATTTCTTCCCCTAACATCAAGCCCACTAGCTGTGTTGGAACAGAAAAGCAGAGCATATAAGTCTGCATGTTTTGAAGGCAAGAACATAACACATACTGCATTCTAGAGGATGGCTCTTCATTAAGGCCTCAAACAAAAAGTATATGCCTAAATATTAGGACATCAATGGCCCTGCTGGAATCACTGAAATTGTTCCCTTGCATATACTGAATTATACTGCTGGACAGCATCTAACACAAATTAACGAAACCATCAGGAATCGTTTCTATAGCAATAGATCATCTGATTGGAAGACCTTACCGCATTACATTTTTCTATCTCCTGTGTTAGTAATAAGTTTTGAGGCAAAAAACCCACTGCGGTCCAATTCTCTCCCACGTTTGGCTCCCACGCTTAGAGGATCGCCGTCCCTTTCCTATCTGTGCAGTCTCGCTCCAAGGATCGAATCATCAAGGTCAATCTCTAAAGTAATGACAAGTGAAGAGGCAGAACACCACAACAAAATTTCAAGTCATTAGAAAGGCGAATTACCACATCACAGACAGACCCAACGTCCCTAGCTTCTAAATATATGGGGATTGAGCTATCAGTCATGAAAATCCCTTTACTCTGTCTTTCTTTATGAGCTCAAAGCTGGAGAGCGAGAGCAAAGGGAAAATAGATTCAATTGATCCTGTGTCCGAAAGACCCTTCAGCATACCTGTTGTTTTCTTCTTTACCTATTTAACTGGGGCTTGG